AATTAATAAAGAATAAAAATGAGCGTCAAAATTAAAGTGTGAGATAATCCCGATATCTCTACATAAAGTTGTAGAATATGTCTCAAGGTTTCCGTACATATAAAGAATGCCCAAATCCGAGCTATAACGAAGAAGTTATGGCCCGCCGAAGTTTTACGGCTAAATCGGCACGACACCGGGAGACGTAAATAGTGAATTTACGATAGAAGACTTTTTAGCCTTAGCAATCTAAACAAAAGTCGTAGAATGTGTTAAACTAAGAACATCGATAAAAAGAACGCCCAAATCTGACTTCGTATGAAGAAGTTATGATTTTTCTAAGATTCGGCTTAGCAGTGCACGGCCTGAAACTCGAATTTTAGTTCGAGCGGTTTTTGGCTTACGCAACGTAAATGAAAGTTGTAGATCTTATTATTACCTACGCGTGGATATAAAGAACGTCAAAAACGGAGGTCGTATGTGAAAGTTACGGATTTTAGAAGTCGGAAGTGTGCTGTGCGAAAATGGGTGATGTGGCACAATCTTGGCCATTGCTTTCTCCCCAAGGCTTGCCACCAGATGGTGACATGTGGCACCAAGTTCAGCCACATTTCACCCTATAAATACCACCTCTCCCACCCTCATTTTCTTCACACCTTTCCCATTCTTTCTTCTCTTTACTCTCTCTCTCTCTCTAGAACCTCTCTCTAGCCCCGAAATCCCCCGAAAAGCCTAGGGAACCTCCCTAGCACGAGGCGGAAGCCCCGGAGTGCTCGAAAGCTCTGAGAAGAAGAGCTTTTCGGCTCGGGAACGCTGCTCCAAGCAAAGCCCGGTTTTCTATAAAACCCGCTGTAAGTGAGCTACGTCTACGCTATTTTTAATATAACTTTTATTTAATTATAGTAACGTTATTAGGAACTTATAATAAATACTTGGGCTATTATTATGGGTTATATAAGTATTTTTTTGACGCTTATATAATAATAATAATAATAATAATAGCTAGACTATTAATTAGTCTCGACGAATAATAAACTAAACTCTAGTGGTAATAATACTAGGTTTCGTCGAAGAAAAATTCTTTTTAAGAAGCGAAGCGCTGTCTGAGTTCGGAATCACCACCTTTTCCGGTGAGTGCATAGTTACCTTCAACTTACACATAGATATGAAGTATTTTATATAAATTACGTGTTATGTGTGCATATTATCTGAATACTTGCTATCTATGCTAGATGAACGTTGTTATACATGTTTTCAATGATTTAAACTGTATATGTATTTTATATCTACGAAAATGTTGGGGTAAAACATGGGTAGATGTAATAGGTGATGTGTGATAAAATGATGAGAGGCCTCGATGTTGTTGTTGTTGATCCAGTCATCTAGCGGAGTATAGATGACGACCACGGACTCTTCTAGACAGTCCAGTGGAACACTAGCAGGTTCGCAACCTGTAGGTGTTGTGAACGATGTGTTCACCGGTGTACTCCATCCCCCACATGGTTGCCTATTAGGACATTTATTGCTGAGGAATCCCCTTAGCAGTAGTGTCCGTCCCGATGATAATCCTTAGGCTAGGTCCCTTATGATAGGTGTTTAGGGACGTAAAGTGAGGATAACGGGAACGGGTAATCGGGTTATTGTTGATTGATGAAATTAATAAACTTATTTATTGTGGGTTGAAAACCCTATGTGCTCACCAGGCTCCCAAGCCTGACCCACTCAGTTTTATGTATTACAGGTAGTGGCGCATGAGCATAGGTGTGATGTTTTGGACGAGGGATTACGGATATAGGCCTGTAGATATGAAATAATGTAGTAAGGCTTATATTGTACTGTTTATACTTTTGATCTGTACGAACATGACATCCCGAGTCTTTTAATGAATACATTTCTATGGAAATGCTTTTGATAAATCTTTATCATATTATTGTTTTGGGACAAATTCCGCAAACCATTTATTAAAAGATAACTCTGATTTTGAAATAAAGTATAAACAAAACCGGTCTTTTCTGGCCGTGATTTTGGGGATGTCACACACCAGTAAGAAAGTTATTATTTGAAAGACCCTAGATACCACCGGTAAGTAAAGTAGTTTTATTACTTAAAATGAAACCAAATGTTGTAATCCCTGGAATACCATCCAGTGTAGTATGTAGGTTGTCTTATACTTAAAATAAAACTATTGAAGAATGAGAATCCCGTAAACAAAGGTTAGTTTATACTATTGTGAGTTTGTATAACCATACTAATATGACTGATGACCTCCTTGACGTTTCTTCAGGCATTGTCCGTTACAAAATTTGTCACCCCAGGCATGCCTGCCTAACTGTAGCTAACAGTTCAGGTGTGGGATTGTCGGTCCCGAATAGATCTATTCACAAATTTCACGCTCTCTTTCCAGGAGACTTTGGTTATACTAAAGGTGAGGATTTACTAGTACCCCGAGGGTACATTGAAGAGAGGTCTCACAATCCTGTATTAACTAGTTTACGTGTTGTTCTGTTGTTCACACGTTTGGAATCATTTGTATACCGTGTAGAGTATAAATAATTATACGTAAAATAATTATTTAGCAAAATACTCTTGTTATCTATAGGTAGTAATGGATAAACTAAATATGTCATAGTTTATGTGTTCAACCTTGTACGTAGTTTGAATCTGTAAAACTGATAATGAATTTCCCAAACTATACCTATTATAGTTTGACTGGTATGTTCTGTTCATGTAGTGTTCTGAAAACTATGCAATTATGTTTTAGAAAGCGTCCCTGATGCTCCGCATATTACAAAATGGATAAAGTATCTAAATGTTTGATGTAAAATCGTTAAAATTGCACCAGTTCTTAACTTGTGAAAACCTTTATGTTTGGTTTGTATTCCCCCTGAAAACATTTTAAAAACTATAAAATCATAGGGGAACTCACAGTTTGTTGGGTGCAAAGGATTGAACTGGAAGATCCTCAAGTCGACGCACGTAGCACTTAACGGAATCCTAATATCAATAAATACATATATGTATCTAAGCGATTTCATTAGATAAAGTGTTAGAGAAACACTTGTTTTCGGTTAAGGAATGTTACCGGGACTTGGTTGAATCGAAGGAACAGGCTTTCCACCCCTTGAGAGTTGTTTACAGCCGTAAATGGGAGTTTACGGCCGTGAACTGAGTTTGCGGCCGAGAATTGGGTTTGCGGCCGTGAACTGTCCTTTGAGGGTTTATGGCCTTTAAAGATTTGAAGGGTTTACGGCCGTAAAGTCAAGAACAAGGGTGCTTGATTTCGACGAAAATGTGTTCCAGATGCTCCCAAACAGCCCCAAATGACGATTTCTGGTGTTTTTCGGATGAAAGGAGGGGTTTTATGTGTTTACGGTCGAGAGAGTTAGAGAGAGAAAGAGGGTGTTTCCAGCCGAAGGTTCAAATGAGGGTGAGGGTCTTGTATTTATAGTATGGAGGGTATGGTCGGTGGTGGGGTCCACCTGGCACCCAACCGCAAACGGGTTTACAGCCATACACGAGTTTACGGCCGTACACTCGTCCTGGCCGTGAACATGGTATTTTTTTTCGAGAAAATACGGGTTTTTCGCGTGATTTTTGGTTTTGCGACTCGTATAGAATTATAACTATATCCTTAGTTGATTTTCTAATCCTAAAAGTTTGACGGAAAAATCAATAAAGTTCAAATTTTATTAAAGGATATGGGTTAAAATAACGGAAGAAATTTCAGGTTGGCACACTAAAACCATGGCGACTATGCAGACTTAGTGCCTAAACCCTTGTGATTATGCATAATTAATGCCTAAACCCTGGTGACTATGAAGACTTAGTGCCTAAACCCTGGTGACTATGGACTTAGTGGCTATTGTATAAACCCTGACGACTAGGCAAACCTAGTGTCGGTTGTATAAACCTTGGCGACTATGCAAACTTAGTGCCTAAACCCTGGTGACTATGGACTTAGTTCTTGTTGAATAAACCATGGCAACGATGGACTTCATGTCTATTCCTTAGGATAATCCATAGGAATGAATGAGCGAAGAATAGCTGATTTTTAAGCTAGATCCTAAAGAGTAAAGAAGATAATAGGGATGGGTAATTGGGTTGATTGTTTGATGTTTAAACATAATAATTATATTATTGTGGTTTGAACACCCTATGTACTCACCAGGTTTCCCAACCTGACCCACTCTAGCTTATTTGTATCACAAGTGTCGATACGAAGCTACTTTATACTGAGATATTTAAAAGAGATGTAGATCACTAGTGTAAATGAATGCGACTTTTGTTTATGCTTATGTTTTTTGTATCGACGATAACATCCCAATGTTTTAAAGTGAATAAAAATAAATTTCCTTGGAAATGCTTTGATAACATATTTATCATGTTTTTCTGGGAACAAATTCTACAACATTTTTATTAAAAGAGGTACTCTGATTTTTATAAAGCATAAACAAAATCAGTCTTTCTGGCCATGAAAATGGGGATGTCACTGATGGTATCAGAGCATTACACTACTAGAAAAACAGTCTTTTATGATGGTCATTGTGCGTCGTAAAAGGGTCAGACGACGCGCAAATGCGCGTCAAGGAAGGCCCTGTCATAAAGAAAGACGACGCACATTTACGATGCGCGTTTACGACACGCAATGCGTATCAAGAAAGGCCCTGTCATAAAGGAAGACGACATGCATTCGCATGTCGTAACCTTACGACGCGCATGTTAATGACACGCAATGCGTATCAAGAAAGCCCCTGTCAAGAAAGGCCATGTCATCAATGAAGATGACGCACATTTTTGCGTATCGTAATTTTAAATTAAATTTTTTTTATGGATTTACGTATTTTCCTATTAAATTTGCATTTCATGTCACATAATGGAAAATAAAATACCATATACAAATAATACAATGCATTGCACAAAAGTTAATGTTATACAAATAATCATTACAATAGTAGACAAATGTAACATTTCAACATTTTTTATATAATAAAGACTTGTTTAACAAAAAGAAAAATGATTTCTCACGTGACATCACTATCAAGAATTGATGTAAGAGGGTACTCCACACTGTATTGCCAACAAGCTTGACACCAACACCTGAAAGCTGGAAAAAACAATAACATAAATAAAAATAAATGTAAGATTTGAGATAACAGATGCATGTGTATGAAAGAACCAATAGATGATAGAATTAGTGAAAAGGAATCATGGAAACAAGGAGTTAAAGGGTCTTTAAGCATACCATTTGCAAAAATTGGTCGATGTTGATCTTTAACATTCCCTAAAATAGGAAGAGCTTGGGAAAGCACACCTTTAAGTCTTGGGGTAAACTGCAAAGCTTCAAATAAATGATCATAACACCAAAAGATATTCAGTTTCAGGACTCAGTTTTGAACACATGAAAGAAGACTCATAAGGATGCCAAAGAGTTGGATAGAGGAGTAACCATAAGAAGTAGCAAATCCTGCAAGTATTTGAACCATAGTTGGAAGAGCTGAGTTTTGTGCATACAAGTGAAGAAATAGTTCTTTCATCATCTATGGAAGTAAATCAGAAATCTTGAACAATGCATGAATTACACACCAAAAGGGTATTTTGGTCTTTTCAATACACCAAAAAGGCAGAATTGTTGAATTCCAACTTATAAGATTGCATGAATTAATGCCTTCTCCTGGAAAGCAGCAAGTTTGTGGAGCCAACCCACATCACCACCATCACCATCACCTTCCCCAACATAAAAATGTCAAAAAACATAGAAGTTTAATCAAAACAAAAAATAAAATAAATTTAGTGTTTAATGGATTTGTTTTTAGCAATTTACCTAAGGTATGTGATGGAAGCAGACAATTTAATCTATCAGCAATTGTCCCAGATCCAGAAGATGAAGGGGCTTATCAATATAATCAAAGATTAACCAACCTCCCACCCTGGTTTAGGCCCAAGGGCAACTACCACCATGGAGCTTGCTTTACCCTAAATAAAAACAAGAAATCATATTTAATGTAATTATGTATCGAAAAAGATAATGAAATAAAATAAATCACAATGAAAAAAATTACTAAATCTTACTTGCATAAATACACTCAAAACAAGCTTACACAGATAAACAACTAAAACTACCTTCAGGAAGGGCATTGTCTAAGTCGAAAAACCACCTTGAACATCTAATAAATAAATAAAAAGGTAATCAAGTTTAGAATTTCTTTATTTGACAATTTTATTTATTTTATTTATAAACAAAAAAAGGAGTGCAATTTACTTGAAAGGCAACAGTGGATTGCACCTGATGTGGATGTCAAAGCCTGAAACTGTGAGATTGGATCATTATAGCAGTTTACTCGTTTTTCAAGGAGTTGAAGTTCTTCCACTCGACTTAATACATCATCAGCCTTCACATGAACACCAAAAAAATCCAACAATGGCCCCTGATTTGATTAAACATTAAAACAAATCATTTTTAAAGTTACCCACAATCCCATTTCTATTCATGTATTTGATAAGAAACTCTAATGGAATAGAATAGAGCAATTTAAGAAAGTTAGTTAACCTTAGGGTCCATAGTTCTTCCTTTAACTGCTTCTCTGCAACCATAACAAAATGAATTAGGTGATTCCTTAAAATTCATTCGCACACACACACACACACACACACACATATATATATATATATATAACTACTAAAAGCATATATATATATATACCAGGGGTATAATGGTCTTTTGTAGGTATTATAGTTGTTGTTGGCTGCTTTCTTATGTTGGGAGTACTAACTTTGTCCTAGGTCTGTTTTAGGGGACCATTCCCTTGAGTCCTGTTTAGTATTTATTCCCATTTTTGTGTTTTTGTTGACTAATATTTTATTCAATGCTTACTTGCATCAGAAATAAATGGAGGAACTAAGGGACATACCTGATTGTAGCGGCCCACAGTGGTGACTGGTGAGAGGTGGAGCAGGGTGATTGATTGCAGCGATGGTGATTTTTGTTTTCTTTTGATTCAAGTTTTCTTTTTTTTTTTCTTTTGATTCAAGTTAGAATGCTATAACTTGTTCATCATGATAAAAGTGATTACATGTAATTTTTTTTCCTTGAAGCTCAGATACTTAAAGGATAGAAGTTCAATGTATTTTGTATTTAGAATGAAAGTAGAATGCAAACTATGCCCAAATATTACATTAAAATTACATCTATATCTGATTAGAAGATGTCTAAAATCACTTCAAATTGGTTATATTCTCTCTAGTTAAGTTAGTTTAATTTTAGTGCATCTCAAATAACGTATCTATATACTATTGATATGGAAGTTTAAAGGCAAATCTTTTCAAAAAAGTCACATTTCTTCTTTGGATCTAGATAACGAAAAAAATATATATGGTATTCTTCAATTTATTGGAAAAGAAAGTCTCGAAAAGAGCCAAAGAAAAAAAAGTTTATATGTTTACCAATACGTGGTTTGATGTGTAGAGAGTCCGATTTTCGTTTTGCAATATTAGCACGAAAACCTCTTACTACTTGTTCTCAAGAAAACAAGTTAGCACTGATTTGATGTGTAGAGAGTCCGATTGAACCAACTTTCTAAGGCTATTTTTATTGATGAGTCATTTTTATACATGATTTGGAAAGAAATAATAAAAAAGGGGACTTACAGAGGTCCATTTTTTAGCTTATCAAGAAGTCCATCTTTAACAAGTGCGTCAACATCAACTGTCTCTGTGTTGAAATGCACCGTGATATTTGGATTATCAAAAACCCTGAAACATTCGCCATAATCAACCTGTTATACAAACATATTTCAGGCAATTCAAAACTTATAAATAAAAGAAACCATTAGTAGTTTCATGGAAGGAGGACAAAATGGAACTACAACAAATGAGAAATAGCATGTTTAAACTATAACATGAATAAAATCACGACCAAAATTAGGAAATAAAGAGAAGAGAAATACATATTTTTTCTAACCTATCCTGCATAGCTCGTGAGGCCTTTAATTGATCCCTGCGTACAAGTAACTGTACATGTCTTGCATATTTAGTCAAATATATTTCTTCCTCAGTTCCTGTATCACCTCCTCCAACAATAGCAAGAACTTCACCCTTAAAAATTGGTGAAGCTCCATCACAGATTTCACAGGCACTAATTCCCCTACTCCAGAACTCATCTTCACGAGGTAATTTAAGCCTTTTGACAGTCGCCCATGTAGCTCCATCATAGATTGCACCGCCTATTTGATATCCCTTGAACACTACATGCTTCAAATTGGCACGACCTGCGTAGATTGCTGTTGTGTAACCAACAGGTCCTGAACCTGTAATCACCAAATTTTCAACACCTGAAAGCATTCCATGGAATACTGGTTAGACGCTCAAAGTTTCCTTCAGATCAATGCAAAGCACATCCTCTTTCTACTTCGCTTAGTTTGATTTTAAGGTTTAAACATACACATGGATACATACGTAGAGGATTTTAAAAATAATAAGTAGAAACCTGGAGAAGTAGACTGATCTGCCGAGTAAGCTTTAACGGTTACTGATGACCTGGCAGGCGAGTCAGATAAGAAAAAAATGGAACTCGATTAGCTTGGAGAGGGGCGTGAATGAAGACTAGTTATCGTTTTTACCTTATTTCCAGATTTCTCTCATGTTTCCTCATCTTCTGTTAACCACGTCTACACTCCATGGCAATCAACGTCTTCATGATTCCAAAGGAATGAGACAAGATCGATTCTAGCTTTGCCCAAAAACCCTAGCTTCTGTGGCCCTGTGAGCATTCATTGACAAACGAGACCCTAACCCTTTGATCATGGTGACCAGAAACCCTTCAATTTCAATTGGAACCGAAACCCAAGTTCCAGAAATAGTAGATTTTGTTGCCATGTGAATGTAAAGTGTTCATTTTCTTGTGAGAAATGAAACAATAAGGATCAATCTATGGAGGATGTGGGTCGTAATTTGAGGGATGAAAAAAACCCTAATTTGAGGATGTGGGTCGATTCCGGTATGCAAAGCCGACGGGCGGCTTATAAAAAGCTTTGAGAAGCAACTGAGCCAGTGTTCTTATCAAAAGCTTTGAGAAGCTTTGAGAAGCATCATAAGTCGTAACAACGATAGGTGCATTCTTCATGTTTCTTTCTCTTTTTGTCTCTACCTCAGAGGGAGACTAGGGCTTGAAATTTCTTGATCTTCAGAGAGACATTAGAGCAGAGATCCGATGAGATGATTAACAAGTAAGGTCACGAGTAGGGGAGAAGCGGATTGGAGAGGAGAGAGAGGATAGAATCGATTGTGAAGATGAAAGATAGAAAAAAGGTAGAAAAGAACAAGGCGGGTTTTCAAAATTTTGGGGATTTCATTTCCCCTATCTACTAAACGAACGCGCATTCATTAAAATTATAAAGCGACGCTCACAGACGACGCGTGTTTAAGATACGGTGCCCTCTGTGTTTTTAATTTTTTTTTTCTTATAACACTAAATTAAGGGCACGCAACAATGCGTGACCTAAATCCTTAAACTTTTTGAAGAGATGACACTTTTTTAATGTCGCTCTCTTTTGCGTAACATAGATCAATGAACGTTGTGGTTTTTGCGTCGTAAAAGGGTCTTTTTCTTGTAGTGTTAGTTTAAGCGAACTAGGAATAAGGATCTATTTCTAGACTTAAACTTAAAATGCTAAGTGATGATTGTGAAGAGTGTGGTAATACACCTGTATAGACACAATCACTAGCTTATTTAGGGAAAATGCCTAACATGCGTTTATGTGCTAAATGATTTATGATATCCATCGGATCTATGATCTGTTGACGACCGGATTTAGAAACTTTATGTGTTCAAATTTCTACACGTTCAATTATGGTATTAGAATTGGCATGTAACTTTTCGGAGTGATAGGGAAAATTACACGTTGATCGTAAATAAAATCTTCTCTATCTAAATTCTTGTCACTTCACACCGAATGTCTAAATTAGATGTATAGATCGACATGGTAAGCACTCGAAGCGGTTTCATAAATAGTAACCTGCAGCTTGAACCTCAAGTAATTGAGTAAGTACCTAGTGTAGTAGCTGCACCTGAGCCAATCACAATAGTCGGGTTACGAGTAATGATCCAAATTATGTTCGATCGTCAAATGGAAGAGACAAGGCGTCTACTTCAACAAAGTGAGGACGAAATTACTGTGCCAGTACGCCAGACACCTACTCTTGAGGAAGCCATCTGGGATGGAGTTGGCAATAAGAGGAAATTTGAGGGATCTTTAAGGTCCAACAGGAAAAACGTGTTATCATAGTCCGGAGGAGGAAGAGATGAAGCAAAATGGTGTAACAAGTATGGAAGGAAACACAACAAGAGATGCTCTAAAGAAGTGACCTGCTTCAGATGCAGGAATACTGGTCACTATGCTCACAAGTGCTCAACCAAGGAGGAAGATTGCCTTAAGTGTAGTGGAGAAGGACACTTCAAGCAAGATTGCCCAATGAGAGCTACAATGCTAAATGTGCCATTGAAGCACTATGAGAGATCCGAAGAAGAATTGAATTGTTACTGGTGTGGAAGAATCGGTCACTATTCCAAGGACTTTACACATAGGGATAAAGTATGCTACGGATGCAGAGATAAGGGGCACGTGTCTAGGGACTGCCCAAAGAAAAATGAAGCAGCAAGACCGAATGTGCTGCCAAAGCCGAAGGAAAGGGCATTCCAAATGATCATTGACGAAGCTACTGGCGATGAAAGGATTCAAGAGTGAAGGCTTGATATCCAAAGATCGAGTTATAAAGTAGCCAAGGGGATTGTATCATATGATGTAGCCTATTAGAGGCATAGTCTTGGGTGAACTTGAACACCTATGTAATCGTCTCAAAGAATAATATAAAACCTTCGTTTTGCTAACTGATGTGTTAATTTGTTGTGTGATTTTCTTGTATGGTGACTTGGAAAAATGTGAGACAATACTTGCGACGAGTATGAGTAGGTGTGAATGGTAGTAGAGGCCTATACTACCGGAAGCATAGGACTCACACTTGGATCAGGAAAAGTCACAAGGTTACCAAGAAGCTAGTAATTGATTTCGTTTTACTCAAGTATGTTGTTTCCACTGTTTCGGTAATGATTAAGAAGATGATTGTTATTTCGACCCTAGTGGTCATATCAAATCTAGTCCGAATAAGATGAGTATATTACGTGGTTCGGAGAACTAAATTCGATGTCGTATCTAACTTAAGCCAGACGATTGAAATCAAAGCGATCAATAGAAGTATCGTGCTTGTTGTTAAATAAGTTGGTAGCTAGAAATGCTACATGTTTAAATGTGATTATATCACGTTAGAACATGAAGGAAAGTATATTCCATTCTGGAATTTGACTCTAAGAGACCTGAGTCTAAGCCTTGCAACACACGATGAGAGGTCATTGGAACATGATCTATCGATCTATTGTGGAAATCAAATAACCTATCTTAAGTTTGTTAAGAAGAAGAGGGAGTGTCCATTAAGGATCAAAATTGTGAATCGAAGGTCATGATTAAAGGTATAACATGAGACAAAGAGTGGGAGTGAGATCAAGCACCGCCTGCAGTCAAGAAGTCGAAGAGTTAAATCAAAGGAACATAGAAGTTACGATTATTACCTAGGATGAAGAAATAATGTGTGGAGTCATTATACAATACTGTTTCATTGATGATTCTGGGACGTAATCATCCTAAAGGGGAGATAATTATAACACCCGCAGATTCAGACTAGTCAATTTAGAGACAATGAGCATCAAAAATGAGTTTTTGATGGAAGATTATTTAGAAGGATTAACTTTAAACAAGTTATAGTATATGTTACAAGGGTTCCGTACATATAAAGAATGCCAAAATCCGAGTTATAACGAAGAAGTTTTACGGCAAATCGGCACGACGTTGCGTGATGTAAATAGTGAATTTATGATACAATGCTTTTTAGCTTTAGAGCCCTAAATGAAAGTTGTAGTATACGTTAAATCGAGATAGTGCATAAAAAGAACGCCCAAATCTGACTTCGTATGAGGAAGTTATGATTTTCCTAAGATTTTGCATAACAGTGCACAACCAGGAATTCGCATTTTAGATCGATCCATTTTTAGCCAACACAACCTAAATGAGAATTGAAGATCTCATCATTAGTAGCGCAACTGTAAAAAGACAAACAAAAATGGACGTCAGATGAAGAAGTTATGAATTTTTAATGGACTTTTCCTGTCTTGGCATGTTAAAAATATAACTTTAAAAATAAAGTCAAAGTTAGCCGACAGAGTCTAAATGAAAGTTATAGAGTACGATCCAGGCACGTAAAAAACATAACTCGTATGCGAAAGTTATGGATTTTAGAAGATAATTAGTTTTAGGGGTAATCTGCAAGTGGCACGTGGCACAATCTGGGCCACAACATCTTCCCCACGGCTTTGCATGAGATTGTGACACGTGACACATTACACCCAACGTAATTTTGAGTACGCTTAGCGTAACCCTTAAATATCCATTACGCTAAGTATAATTCTTGAGTACGCTCAGCGTACTCGGTGTTGGTAGCCTATAATTAGAGGCGTTTTTCCTCATTTTTCTTCACACATTTTCTCAACTTCTCTCCCCAAAACCCCCAAATCCCCCAAATCCTCAAGGGTTTTCTCTAGCCTTTATAAGGAGTTAGTAGCAAGTCCTGGAGTGCCAAAAGTCCGTAAGAAGAAGAGCTTTCGACTCAGAAGTTCTGCCCTCGCAAAGCCCAATTCTTCGCTAAACTCCAATATAAGTGACGTATGCTTACCCTAATTTAAATATAGCTTATATTTAATTATAGTAATGTTATTAAGAACTTATAGTAAATATTTGGGCTATTATTACGAGTTATATAAGTTTTGTTATAATATATTTTTAACCACTCACGGTACGGGGAACCTGGTTTGAAGGGCTGCTTGGGTTGTTGGATTTCAGAAGTGTTATATGCCAAAATGGTCCTACCCTCCGGTGTTTCATGTTTGACCCTGTCTGTACATAGTGGGTGAAAAGTATTGTGGTAAATCTTATATAATAGTAATAATACTAAGCCTATTAATTAGTTACGATGAACGTTTGACTAAAATCTAGTGGTAATGATACTAGGTTTGTCAAAGGAAAATTATTTTTAAGAAGTGAGGTGTTGTCTGAGCTTGAAGTCATCACTTTAACAAGTGAGTGCATAATGACTTTCATCTTACACATAGATATGAAGTATTTTATATAAATTACGTGATATGTGTACATATTATCTGTATACTTGCTATCTATGCTGGATGAACGATTTTATACATGTTTTAAATGATTTAAATTATATATGTATTTTATATCTGCAAAATATGTCGGGTAAAACATGGGTATGTGAAATATTAGTTGGATGATTAGATGAGAGTTGATATAGACCATAAGATAAGGGTGAGAGGTGAATAACAAGAGAAGGCTTTTACCCAAGCGTTCGACCCGTCATCTAGCAGAGTGTGGATGAAAACCACAGACTATTCTAGACAGTCCAATGGAACACTACAAGGCTCGCAACCTGTAGGTGTTGTGAACGAGATGTTCACCCGGTGTACTCTAAAAACCCATTGACGTGTATTGCAAGTGGAATCTCGAAAATGATACTGTTAATAAACGAGATAAACCCTGGTGACTATACAGACTTAGTGCCTAAACCCTGACGACTATGCAGATTTAGTGCCTAAACCTTGGCAACTATGCATAATTAGTGTCTAAACCCTGGCGACTATGCATAATTAGTGCATAAACCCTGATGACTATGAAGACTTAGTGCCTTAACCTGGTGACTATGGACTTAGTGCCTGTTTTATAAACCCTGACGACTATGCAGACTTAGTGCCTGTTGTATAAACCCTGGCGACTATGCATACTTAGTACCTAAACCCTAGTGACTATGGACTTAGTTCATGTTGAATAAACCATGGTAATGATGGACTTCGTGCCTATTCCTTAGGATAATCCATAGGAATGAATGAGCAGGGAATAACTAATTCTTAGGGTAGATCCTTAAGAGTAAAGAAGATAATAGGGATGTGTAATTGGGATGATTGTTTGATGTCTAAACATAATAATTATATTATTATGGGTTGAAAACCCTATGTACTCTCCAGGTTTCCCAACCCGACCCACTCAAGCTTATTTGTATTACAGGTGTCGATACAAAGCTACTTTACACTGAGAGATTTAAAAGAGATGTAGATCACTAGTGTAAATGAATGTAAGTTCTGTTTATGCTTATGTTTTTGTATTGACGATGACATCCCAATGTTTTAAAATGAATGAAAATACATTTCCTCGGAAATGCTTTAATAACATATTTATCATGTTTTTCTGGGAACAAATTCTGCAAAATTTCTATTAAAAGAGGTACTTTAATTTTTATAAAGCATAAACAAAATCGATCTTTTCTGGCCGTGAAAATAGGGATGTCACAATATATATATATATATATATATATATATATATATATATATATATATATATATATATATATATATAGGTATACACATATCAAAATACCCCACACTTAACCTTTGCTTGTCCCCAAGCAAACTGATTTTTAACATACCAATATCACATAAACAAATCAATTTTAAACCCAACCATTATCCCAAGACCGCAATGAATGTATTTGTGTCTATAACTCCTAAAAACTTCCCAATACTAAATACTCACAATCCTTATGAACATTCACCACCTTAGTTTATACGACACTCATTTTTGCAACCCTTTGAATCCATCCTCGGATATCTTTCTTAACTTCAATGTATTTTTGGTTAAGCTTCCCAAGCATGCATATGATCTACAAAGAATTACAATTTTGATATCACAATGGATCTCATTGAATTCATATTTTCTCTTCGATTTTCTTTGAATTCAACACCTTCTTGTTTGATTTTTGGCATCTTCAATTTTTGATTCTTCTGAATTTTTTATCTTTTGATCCTCATAGTTTGATAGCTCCAAAATTCTTTCATCTTTTTCAATCTCTCTTATTATATATATATATATATATATATATATATATATATATATATATATATATATATATATATATATCTCACTTTTTTCGCTCATATAGCTTAACATCAACTTTTATTGGTTAGAGGTATTAGTCTAAGTGCAATGACTACATAAGCTTTCCTAGATAGATTTCAGGTACACGCTGCAAAACTTTTTACATCATACAAACTACCAGATACGTTTCACATCTCATGACTTTTCATTAAGAATGGGAAGCCACAAATACATTATAACATATATTGGATTTTGTAAACATTTGAGCTCTCATCGGAACATCCCACACAATACTTGCAAAAATTTTCTAATTGGCTAGATTTTCCTAAATTAAACTATTATTTCAAGTTTGTGTGAGTGCATATTGTCAAAACTAGCATTTTTTTTTTATGATAATGCAATCTTTGTAAAAATCATATGATAATGCAATCTTAGTAAAAATCAAATGTTTGTAGTCTAATGTAATCAACCCCCTACCACACACTTATTTTATAGAATGTACCCATTGCATACTATGCAAAACATAAAAGTAAAAAGGGTGAAAAAGGAACAGACTCTCGTGGTACTAGTACAAAAATGACCTACGAACACACCATAAAAGGGTGACCATATGCATATAGTGACATTTTATTTTTTCACTGAAAGTGTGACGGAAGGTGACGCCATCGTATGGGACTTATGGTCACTTTAAAATGTAGTGTCCGTATGATATGAAAAAATATGGCCGTATTCTAAAAGTGTGGCTATCGGGTAGCGAATTTTGTTCCAAAAATCAATCATTTTATCTAATATTGTGGCTTTAAACCGTTAGTAGACACACTTATTAGTAATTGTAGTAACTATATATCAACAACTTGCGACATGCATGTTGTTTCAGTGTGGCGTTTTAGTAATAAATTGTCACACAGTGTAAGGTTTATTAAGACTATAGGTATCTTTTGAAGACATTTAATTATGGTGAACATGACCATGTTCACTAAATCGTCACATGTAATTAATTTCATAAGTGGCTATTTGCTAATAATTAGTTACAAAAACAATTAGTTTTGGTGACTATTGTCTATCGTATAGAAACACACAAATAAGTGAAAATGATCATAAGTATTATAAAGACACATATTTTATTAAAATTATGGATTTAGTATTAGCTTATATCCCTATTTATATTACTAATCATGACCAATGCTATCATTAAGACATATAAAAACTTGTACCCATGACTATTTTATATCATTTCAACATACAAAATCATTTAAAAATAACTGTAATTAATTTATAGACACAATAGCATTTTTAATTGTGACCAATATTCAATTTATTACGATAAAAATTTATTATTAGTATAACCTATTTTATCGTTTAGACATGCAAACATTATGGAGTGTGGCTATTGTTTGTACTACAAACATAGACAAGTAATTAAACCGTATCAACACACATGCAAACATTATGGAGTGTGGCTATTGTTTGTACTACAAACATAGACAAGTAATTAAACCGTAGTCATTAGTGTCCTATCAACACACATAATTCAAATGGACATGACTATTATCTTCCATATTGTCACGTTATTTCTAGACACAATTGTTTTTTTATAGTGACTATTATTGAAGCACACCAATTAATATAAAATGTGGCTATTCTTTTGCCTTTTTGGCCATGACATTAGTTTGGTTTTAGGCCCATTAACTTTTCACAACTGCAAGTTTTTTATATATTTTGGCACAAATATAAATACATATAATAACCACATATTATTATCAAATTCAGAAAATAGAAATATACAATAAATGTAATAAAAAGAAATTTTTTTTAATAAGAATATAAAATTCATTCATAAATTTTCCTGTTAATAGTTGACCAAAAAATAATAACCAAGATAAAATCCAGATAACATCAAAAGGGAAAAATTTTAAGAAAATATTAAACCAAGAATGAGAACTTCTACATTGTTTTCTTAATAACATTGGTCATTGTTTTCTCTATTATCCCATGTAGTGTTGTTGAACTTTTTTTCCCCTTCTTAGACTTGGTTGTCTTAATCTCAAGTCTCGAGTTACTTGTGGTACCGTTAATAATAAAATGAGGCGTTAAAACCCATAATGAACCATGATCCATCAATTTATATTGTTCTGAGATTAAAATCTACTAATTTTGTTGATCAAAAATTCTTAAATCATCACACAAACAATACCTGCAATTCACATCAGTAATGATGGCTTTACTAGTTCTTGGATGGTTGAACCTGTTGTAGCTAAGGTTCTTTAGGGCCTAAAAAATATAAAAAAAGTTAGGTTCTTTAGGACCAAAATCAAGCTACACAACAAAATTTACGGTAATCCTCCAGTTCAGCCAAAGAAATAAATTTTATAGAACTCAAGGTACCTGACAGAAAGATATATCAATATAAACCCATATACCTGTAAGTCAGATTCTTTGAGCTGATTAATCAAACACCTTCCTTTCATAAAAAAAAGATGCAAGTTAACAAAAATTACATGTTGTTAATCAACAAGACTAAAGTTAATCAACTTTCTCCATTATGTTAAATTGATAAGCATGCAACGTTTCATGTGATACAAAAATGGGAAGTGATTCGTACACAAATTTTTTTTGCCGTACACAACAATTTATGCATTATAGAGTTGTATAATACAATACTTTAAAGCACAAATTGTTGTGTGCGTAGAAAAAGTGTTGTGTACAAATCAGTTCCCTACAAAAATACAAGTTAAAAGCAAGTAACCAAACATTAGAATTTTTCATTGAATAAAGTTTACCAAAAGTGAATGACAATTACCTGGCTCATAAATGTCGGCATCAACAGGACTTAAGACACCCACAATTCTGATTTATTCCGGAAGTAAAAGATGTAGAATCAAATCTATAGTTACAATTTACACCAACCACAACTTTAGGAGTAAAAAGTAAGAGGTTTAAAAGTAAATATACCCAAACACCATTTGTCCAGCAGTGAGCACAACTAAGCTTACAATATAAAAAAGCACCACCATGCCTATAACCAGTGTTCTAAAAGGCGCGCCATGGCGTGAGGCGTGGCTCCGCCGTTACGAAAAAGCCTCATAACGTTATTGTTAGGTGTGGTGCGTGGCAAGGCGTGATATGGCGCGCCATGGCGTGTTATGGTGCGTGTTTTTTCGTTTGAGACACGGTTTTTTGCTCTTTGATATGTCTTTTATAATCGGAGATATAGGTATTGTGGTTTTCGTTAAATTTTTGTTACTAGTTATTGATCTAACACTTATAAAAAGTAGTTATATTTAATATAAATTTAAATTTATGTGGTAATATAATTTTAAATTAATACAAAATCGCCGCCTTACATCACGCCTTGAAAAACGCCATGGCTCGCCATGACTCGTTAAGCTTGAGGTTTGACCTTGCCGCCACGCCATGCCTCACGCCCTTTAAAACCTTGCCTATAACCACCAAAGCTAGGACAAATAAGGCAATCAAGAGCAAAACAATCAATCTAATAGGGGAAAGCAGTCAAAACTATCGTATGACAACAAACACCAAATAACAACATGGAAAGAAGTTGATAGCATCAAGGGTTGCCACCGAACAAGATACCTAATAGGGGTAAAACGGACAAATTTCACAAAGTTCTCATAACAGCTGTCACCATCATAGGAAAATTATTAAATTGTAATCAATAATCCAAAATACCATTCAATCCTTGATAAAACGAGTAGACCGCTTCCATCATCTACAAACAGAAAAACCAAAAAGACAAGAATAAGATATATATATATATATATATATATATATATATATATATATATATATATATATATATATATATATATATATATATATATATATATATATATATATATATATATATATATATATATTATATATATATATATATATATTTATGTGGTAATATAATTTTAAATTGTGATTTCTGGCTCAACACTTGTATCAGGTTTGGGGGGAAACCAAATGTAGCACCTGGTTCTTGCTACCTATCCTTTTTATTAATTCCTTAAATATTTTGCATTTTGGCCTTGGACTCGGCGAGTTGAAGGACCAACTCACCGAGTAGAAGCGGGATGGGACGCGGGACTTAAGTGACGGACTCGGCGAGTAGGTGCTGTTCGGAAAAAAACCCTAAACCGAGGGTTTGCACCCTATTTAAAAACCTTAACTCGGCCTCCTTCATCCCATTTGCTCCCAGAAGACCCCCATAGCAAACCCTAGCCGTTATTGAAGCAAGCTAAGGCATTTGGTGTGATTTTGGTGTTTTTGTGACCCAAGGAAGGAAGGAAAAGCTTGAAGGATCAAGAGGAGGCTAGAAGGATCCGATTTTAAGCACCATTTACAGTCTTTAGAAGGTATAAAGTCTATACCTTGTTTGTTCTTTTGATATATCCCATTTTGTGGAGTTTTAGGGCTTTTCTAAGCCATTTGGTCACCAACCATAATTACAAGCATGGTTAGGAATTGATGTTTCAGATCTAGGTCCTTAGAGGGGTTACAAGGCAGAAAGAAATGGCTTTTTCACTCAAAGAAGGCCCCATGCATTGTAAGAGGTTGTTTTAGGACCTCTTGAGCTCAAAGTCCCATGCATGCACGTAAAGTTTGTAACTTTACGTGCTAGATCAATGGTAGAAGCACAGATCTGCCTTTTGATCAAGGGTTGTACGTCAGAAATCGAAGATTTAGTGAGAGGATGTGACCGACTCGACAAGTCCAGGGTGTAACATCCCCCTCTGGCACGTATCATAACGTTGTCCGCTTTGGGCCACTCGGCACGAGGACTTCCCAGGGGGTCACCCATCCTGGTACTACTCCCGCCCGAGCATGCTTAACTGCAGAGTTCTTATGGGATCTGCTGCCCTCACAGCTTTAAAACGCGTTGTGATAGGGAAGGTATCCACACCCTTTATAAGGAATGCTTAGTTCTCCTTCCCAGCCGACGTGGGATCAGATCTAACCCACTTTCACCCTCCATTATAGGGTTCGACGTCCCCGTCGAACACATTGACTCGTGCCCTAGCTCTGATACCATTTATAACATCCCCCTCTAGCACGTATCACAATATTGTTCGCTTTGGGCCACTCAGCACGAGGACTTCCCAGAGGGTCACCCATCCTGGTACTACTCCCGCCCGAGCATGCTTAACTGCAGAGTTCTTATGGGATCTGCTGCCCTCACGGCTTTAAAACGCGTTGTGATAGGGAAGGTATCCACACCCTTTATAAGGAATGCTTAGTTCTCCTTCCCAGCCGATGTGGGATCAGATCCTGGTACTTGTAACGACGTAAATTTTAAACCAATTTTTTTTTTTCATTTTTACAATCATCAAAAACATCGAGTAATAATTTAAGTTCCAATGTAAACAATATTGTCACGACCGATTACATAACAAAGATCACAAAATAGTTTTCCCCGAGTGTGTGTATGATCACGCCGGCGCCTTCCCACGATCCTCGCTAGTACCTAAAACACATAACACAACAACTGTAAGCATAAATGCTTAGTGAGTTCCCCAAAATACAACCTACGCACATACGCCTTTCCAGGCCCTGACCTTCCGGTCCATGTGTCTCAGGGGACTTCCGTCCCGACTGGGTGAACCTTCCGGTCCTACCCACGTCAACCTTACGGTCCATTTTACAACGCCTTCCGGCCCATAACATATTCGCCTTCCGGCCCATAATATAATGCCTTCCGGCCCATATCAAGCATATCATACATGGCACATATAACGAATAACTTATCACACATAACACATATATCTCATAGCATATCCGACCTTCCGGTCACACAGTCAAACCCTTCCGGGTACAGTATAGTGAGAAGACTCACCTCGTATATCTCGATAACTCGTGAACCCTGGAAATCACTCGTGCTCGAACCCCCGAGCTATAATCCTCCTATAATATCACATATATAATTAATACACACTTACCACTAAGGTTGACCATCCCTATCAAGTCAACACTGGTCAACAGTCATTGGTCAATTTGACCGGACTCGGCGAGTGCACTAGAGCGACTCGGCGAGTCTACGCGTTTTCACCAACTCGCAAGGATTTCCCCTTGACACGTCGAGTACTCCCCCGACTCGACGAGTTCCACCTAGTCATGAATCACGGGGCCACCGCTACTCAACTCGCCGAGTTGCAAGGACAACTCGGCGAGTCCCAACTCGACTCGGTCCACCTGTCAATCCCTCTCTAACTCTCTGTGACTCACTGAGTCACCCATAACTCAGCAGGACTACTCACTGGGTGGTTTTAAGGGCAATCTTCAAGCTACTCGTCGAGTCTGTTCTTCAGACTCGGCGAGTCCATGCCATGCATCAGCTAAAACTTGCTTCTGCGGTCAGATCCGTTCCATACACACATAGATCTGGCCTTCCCAAGCTCATTTATCATGTAAAGTCTCAGTCTTGGCCGCCATGCAACACTTACAAGGCTCTTTTTGGGGAAATAACCTCTAATATGGCAACCCTAGTCTCCAACTCAAAAGAATGGACATAAAGCATATCATTTGGGGCCTTCTGGACCTGCTAAGGTCCAAATCTAGGTTCCATATCTCCATGGGACCTTTCACACTTCAAATCCAAGTCAAATAAGGCAAGAAGAAACCCTAGATTTAACATATCAACCAAAACACGAAGATTAGCTTTGATAATAATCATCATGATAGTGGGAGCATAAAAGTTGTGCTGGTATGATTATTAAGTCAAGTATTGCAAGTTAGCAATATTAATTATAGAAAACAAGAGTCATACTTTGCAAAGTTGTAAGGGTTGAATAGTTGTTTTTCTATAATTAAGGGAGATAATATTATGCGTCATTTCAAAAACTAAAGGCTTAGGTTGTGGAATGTTAATAAACTTAGTCAAGGATACATAGTGTGTTCTTAAATTTCGATTATGATTACGGCATTCCTCTTCATAGTTCGAATTATGAGAACGTAGCACATAAAATATTATGGCAGAAGATTGCTAAAGTATTAAATCTTCATGTAAGACATTATGCATCATGTCCCATACGCTTCAGGTATAGGATCGATTGCAAATGCTATAATATTTGACCATTCTAAATTTTTTCAAATGTTTAGCGCATTAAGAGGGAAAAGGACAAGAATCGGTTTTCACTAAGATAATTAAACAACTACCAAAGGACGATCTAAAGTTCGCTGAGGATTGGTCGCTTGTAAGTAGTTGGAAGTATGATATTGGATGGAGCATATCGACATTATTATGAATAGATAAGATTCTATTAATAATGAGTTGTGGTATGGTAAGTATGGAAAGGTTTCCATATTGGGAGTTAGATATTGAGAATCTATGTCTAGATTAGAAACTTTATGCAAAAGGATGTTCAAAGGAATATACTTTGAGTGAGAGACATCACATCTATGGAATTGTTTTGTAACAATTTCCGATAGAGAGCTTTGTAATTCATTGGAAATAGTCATTGTGACCTTAGTGCAGTGACATTACAAAAGGATCATTGCATAAAATGTTAGAATCTAGCATATTCTATAAGTGGCAAGAATTTGATATTCTTACACTTGTGATAAGGATTGGGAGTTGTTAAATGAGTATGATTGGAAATGTGTTCATTTGATCTATTTCACAAAATAAGGACCATAGGTAAACATTGTGTGCATGCTAAGAGAATGGGATAAGTATAGTTATAGTTTAAGTAAGAAGTTGATTACCCGAAACGACAAATAATGAGTAATCGATATGGTGATAAATAAAAGGTGTTTTATTTATACTCAAAGGTTTGAGGCCATATGGGATTAGTATTATTCTTGTGTTTCACCTTGCATGTTTTGACTTCTTGAATAATTTAATTGGTTAAGAATAGTCAAATTATTTGAATGGGCCACAATCGTTCATATGTTGGAAGTAGGTATAAATGAAGACTCTCGTGAATTGGTGTGTGGATTGTCTAAAGAGCATTAGACATAAGCAAATGTTTGTTGCAACATTCATGAGTGCTTATGAATATGATTTGAGCAT